GCTTCTTAAGCTCTAGGGACTAAGGCGTTGTAAACTGTTGTTTTTGCAAACTTAGTGGAACAGTGGATTAGATGAACAAGTTGTTCCTTGAACCACTATAAAAACCCCGGTGTCATTTACTTTAAGCTTTTAATTCCTGCACTTAAGATTCTACTGACTAACTCTTAAGGTTGGACTCTGTGTCCAGCAGATCTTCCTTCAGAGTTATCAGAAAGGCATTTTGCCTTAGTTTTCTTCTAGAGGCTACCCGGACAGAAACTTATCCGCTGCCTGGTCTAGTTCTGCCATCAGAACTTGACCATCTCTGTCACCAGATTTCGACCATCTCTGATAAGTCAGACTTGACTTAGAGAAAAGTTTAAATTCCTGAACAGTCTATTCACCCCCCCTAGACTGTTCCCATTACAAACGGGACCAACAAGTGGTATCAGAGCCTCCTTGTTCTTGTAATCTTTTAGGTTACTTACTAAACAAGAGATCCACTTGTTTTAGCCTCTTTAATCTCATATTATGGATAACACTCTTTCAAAGAATCTTATGTTCTCAGTGACAAAGTTTGATGACTGGAGGATCCGCATGAAAGCTCACCTCTGCGCACTCCATGACGAAATGTGGGAAGTTCTTGATGCAGGACCTTTCACAGAGTTCACCAAGGTCAACCCTGAATACATCACTGGTAGTGGTCAACCCCAGATGATCACCAAACTGCGCCATGAATGGTCCAATGAAGAGAGGAGGAAGTACAACCTTGACAACATTGCCAAGGATATCCTCTACAAGGCCATTGATGACAAGTACTTCACAAGGATCAAGAAGTGCAAATCTGCCAAGGAAATCTGGGATACTCTCACCTTGATAGGAGCTGGAGATGAGCAAGAAAAGGACAACAAACTTACTATTGCCATGAAGAAGTTTGAAGATTTCAATCTTCTACCCAAAGAATGCATAACTGAGATGTATGCACGCTTGCTCACCCTCACTGCTGAGATATCAGAACTTGGGAAGGAACTTACTCCCAAGGAGATCAACTTGAAGGTTCTCAGAGGTCTACCTTCACCATGGAAGATGAAGGTCACTGCCATGAGAGATAGCAAGGATCTCAGAACCTACAGCACTGAGAAACTCATCTCTGATCTCAAGTCTTATGAGTTTGAGATGAATGAAGAAGAGAAAGAAGAAGTTGAGGACAGAACAACTACTGCCCTCACTGCCAGCACCTCTCAGGTAAATAATTTTGACCCTTCTATTCTTTTAACTGACGAGTATATGGCGGCTTTTGCTAGGAAGTTCAGGAAATTCTTGAAGCCGAAGGATAGCAGAAGTCCACTCTCTAGCAGAAAGCCACACCAGAAGTCCAAACCATCAGAAAGTAGTGGAGAGCTTCTCTGCTACAACTGCAGACAACCAGGGCACTTCAAAGTCAAATGTCCACACCCCATAGTCTCCAAAAGGCAAGGCCAGGAAGGAGAAAAGAAATATGAGCACCGAAGAAGGAAGGCACTCATCACTGAGCAACCAGAGAAAGACCCCCTCTCTGAGACAGAGTCCAGCTCGGAATCAGAATCTGATGAAGCATTCTGTTGCCTGGATACAGAAACTGAAGACCTATGCCTTATGGGTCAATCTTATGATGAGGTATCTTCTACTTCCAACTCTAGTTTTTCCTCGGTAGGCAGAGCCTTTGATTCTGATTCAATGTCAGAATTTTGGGAAGAGTTTCAAGCCATTCAAACCACTTATTCTTCTGTTAAAGAAGAAAACAGTAAGCTTAAGGTTGAAATTCTTGACTTAAGAAAGGAGGTTGAGATCAAAATCAATCTTCTAATTAAGGAAAGAGATCAGCTGGAAGCTGAAAATGTTTCTCTTCTAAAGAGAATAAGAGAGATAGAGCCTCTTGAGATTAAGTACAAAGCTTACCAGAAGGCCCAGTCTTCCATGGAAAAGATTGTACTTGACCAACAAATTGGCACTAGTTTTGGTCTTGGTTATGGCTCAACAGAATCAGGTGAGCCTTTTGTAATGCCTAGCACCAAAGTTGCTAAGGCAGACAAGGTCATAGTGCCACTGATTTCTAGCCCCATTTGTCAGGCTGGTGTATCTGGCACCAAGGTTATTCATGAGAATGTCAGACCAGAAAAGGAAAGGATAAATGTTCAACAGAAACCCATTTTAAAAATTAATGAACCTGGCAGAAGACCTAACAACAGACAAACTCATGATAATCGTGTCAGAAATGATCACCAGAAAGGCAGATATCAAGAGAAAGTTAACTTTAGGCAGAAAAGGTTGGCTGGTCAACTTAAGAAGCCCAAAGTTAATCGCCCCTCTGATCTTGATAGTATATGGGACTTCTACCCAACTAAAAAGGCTATGCAGAAGTATGTAAACCGGAAGCATGATCCTCACAAGCATCTGCCCAAAGTGAATCACACTGCCGTTTACTATGACTACCAGGTGGACAATGGGTACCACCCACCAAGGTTTCACTTGATGAGACCAAAGTGGTACCGGCTGCCAAGACTGCATGACCCCTTAGGACCCAACATTGCTTGGGTACCTAAATCTTCCTTTTAAGTTTGTTTTCCTATTCTTCATTCCTTAATATGATACTCCATCCGTCCATAAAATAGTTTTCGCATTGACTTGGATCGGAATTTAAGAAAGTGAGAATAAAGTGAATATGTATGGTTGTGGTTAAGTAAGAAAAATGTAGATGAATGTGAGCCACACAAAACTTTCCAAAAAGGGAAATTGGAACTATTTTTTAGGGGACCCAAAAGGGAAACAGAGAACTCTTTTGCGAGACAGAGGGAGTATATATCTTCTATTTTTCAATTGAAGCCCTCTGTAGCAAAGTCAAGAGGCGGAGTCTTAGGTAGTTAATTTTTACTGAGTTAGTGGTTGATTGATATTACATGTTATAGTAATTTAAATCAAAAGTAATGGTTATACGTAGTATTACTTGTAATTGGTTAACTTCTTTTATTTGTATACTAACTGGTTATTAGTTAACTTATTTTTATTATCTTTATTTATACTTATTCTTGGGACAACCATGTTAATTTTTAATTAGTTGTTGTCATATGCTGTGTAATTTTATAGTAAGACAAAAGTGAGTGTTTTTTAAGGTTTATGAAAACTGTATACCTACAATTTTAATTATTTTACTACTACCTCCGTAACAGATATATCTTCCCATTTGAAAAGTAGGTGAGATTAAGAATAGTGAAATGAGATATAAATTATTGAGGGTATGGTGGAAAGATAATGAAATAGTGTGCTGGAATGAAGGATAAATCCAATAAAAGTAGTTGTAATAGTGTATTATTTTTAAAGTTATTGAGGGTATGATAGGAAGATTTAGAAATGGGAAGATATGAATGTTACAGCTAAAAAGGAAACTGGGAACATATGAGTGTTACAGAGGGAGTATATAATAATTGTTGAGGTTAAGTCCCGAATGACCTGAAGGCCCAACACCAACCTTTGATTTAGCATGTGATTTGCTACAGTAAAGTGTATAAAACAAAATATAAAATCTGATTCAACTACTCAAATAACTCAGCTTGTATTAACGCAGTAATAACAATTACACAGAAATGGTCGAACGGCTGTTCAAGTCCAAAGGCTAATACAAGAGCTAGAATGCTATTAGAGCTAGAGAGTAAATAAATGCTAACCCTTACAAATGAATTAAATGCTGCTATTTATACTAGATGGGGATATGGGGTGCTCTAATATGATTGGTTGCCTCCCATGCCACTTGATGCCCCCATGATCCAGCATTAACTGCAGTCGGTTACTTGAGCAACTCTCGTTCGTGATTAAGCCCAGCTAAGCCACCAATCTGGAATAAGCTAATTACATCCCGTTCGGGATGTGCCGAACAGGGCTTTCCCATTCGGGCTTGATGATTTTCCATGGGCCTTCACTTGTGTTTGGGCTTCAGGGATATTTTGGGCCATCGTATTAGGCCGGACCTTAATATCCCATCACAAGTCCCCACTTCCGATGTTCCGAGCGTGCTCGGGACATGAGAAAGTAGAAAACTAAGTTTCCCGCCGTTCGATATGATCCCGTTCGTGCTCCTTGCTAGTGCTTTCCTGCCCATGACATGACGGTTTGAAGCTCTTTGGCGGCTATCGCTTGTATTCCCCATGTAACCATCATGATTACTTGACGTTTCGCCTTTGTCCGACACGTGTCCCTTGGAGCGTCCCTTGCTACGTGTCCGCCTGGGATTGGTCCGTGAATCGACGCTTTTTGGTATAAGTGTAAGGAATAATTGTAATTAGATTTTGATGATGCTATATTAATTAGGAATTTAGAGTACCCCCTCTGTAGATTTATTGTACTAGAAATTTTCCTTGTAAAGTTTCTTAGAATAGTCGACTGACAAAAGACCTCCTGACAGAACACCTTTAGCTCTCTGTTGATCCTCATCCAGACAGAAGACCTTTGGTTCTCTGTTGGTTCTTACTCAGACAGAAACCCCCTGGTTCTCTGTTGGACATCACTGCAACAGAAACCTTCTAGACTCTCTGTTAAGTTCGCATCTGACAGAAGACCTAAAGGACCCTCTGATAGCTTACTCCAACAGAAGTGTTCAAGACCCTCTCTAGGAGAGTCTCTACTGAAGACACCAGAAAGCCTGACACTTAGAGAATTTTCATGGAACTCTTCAACCGGTGAAACCAATGGAAGATTCCCTCAATGGCTACGAGACTTCAACGGAAAAGCTACAGTACGCGCATTAAATGCACATTTAATGCACCCCGTACCCTGAAGAGTAAAAGCTGATGATTGGCCGACACTTCAGGATTACTTTATCCCGAAATAGAAACTCGCCAATTTTCCCGGGTCCTACTGGTCAAGTCAACTATCTGCGCATTTAATGCATTGTCCTCCTCCTCCAACGGAAAGACAACCCAAGTATAAAAGATACTCTACTAAAAACTTTGGATATAACTTTGCTACATCCTTTGCTCAACACTTGCAAAAACAAAACCTTTAAAGGATTCAAAATAAAAAAACCTCCTTCAGATTAAAACTTCATCATGAGAAGGCAGAGAAATTTTCCTGGACGGAGGGAGTATGTTTCTAACGACAGCTTCTCTCCCTAGGTATCGCCTGGGCTCTTTTGCGTAACTTTGAATCGCTGGTTGACATGGGATTTTTGTGTTTCATTCTTGCAATTGCTATGATTTACTTGGAATATCTTACTGTCGTCTGTTGATTTGAGACTGGTACGATGTCTTACGGTCAAGAAACGAGGTTGTTCTTCGCGATTGTACTGTTCATGTAGCCTTACGATTTGGGTTTGTTTGTTAGCAATTGTTTGTGTGTTTCTAGTCTATTTTTGAGAGTATCTTCGGACTCGCCATACCTGGACGAATCTCCTTGACTACTTATTTGAAGGCAGAGGAGGAATTAGATTGTTTCTCTGTTCATCGCGTCTGCAGTCATACGTGTTAAAACGCGTAAACTGATTCTAGGATTCTATGTTCGTATTTGTAGTTATAATCGATACTTACTGGTATTTGCTTGGTCGGAATTTGCTGTTAAGTCCGTCCCAACCTTTGAATTCGTTCTGCGAGTCACGTAGGTCGCAAATACAGTCCGGTTTCCGTTCGCTGCTCTGGATTTCCACTGATTCCAGAACGACCGCAAACACTGTTCATCTTCATCCATGGTGAGGAAAAAGTCAATGACTGTGGAGCCAGTAACTGTGCGAAATACTAGGTCAAGGTTTTCCCTGCTTCCTAACATCGATGTTGAGTTTCCAGTTCTTCCTGGGAATGGAGTCAAGAAACCTGGTGCGGGATTTGCTGAGACAGGAGGTAATCATGGTTCAGGGGCTGCAGAACTTGCTAGGTCAACTTCCAGATTTGCTGTGCTTGAAGGAATGGAAGATGAATTCCTTGAACTTGGAGGTGCTGTGAACGGAAGGTCTGCTGCAACTTCTCTGGTGGCTAATCTTACGCAGGAGGTGACAAAGGCTCAGCTTCCTAAGGCGCATGATATAGTAGCAGTGAACAACAATTTGAGAAACCAGGACAACCTTGCTGGGAGTAGTTCGCAGGTTACTTTTGCAGAACATGAAAATGATCTGCCTGAAAAAAATTTGACTTCAAAACCTGCTAAGGTTACTGTGAAGAATGTGAATTATGGGGAAAAGTCTAAAACTAATGCAGTGGACAACGCCATTGCTAAGCAGGCAGATACTGTTAATGGTGGTCCACTGGAAAAGGAACAAAAAACGAATGGGGATGCAGTGGTTATCCAAAAACCGTGGTCCTCACTGTTTAAAGACAACCGTAACCCTTCAAATGGCTTGAAACTGAGGTATATTCCACCAAAAGGCACGTCCTTGGATTTTACGGATAGAATTTTGCCTACTATGGTTGACATGTGGGGATTTTGTCTTGTGGGATTCTTTACTGGGAAATTTCCGGGCCTTAAGGCAATCTATGATCTGAAAAACACTTGGGGGTTAGTTGCATTGTAAAACAACATAATAAGGGGTGGGTTATCTTCAAATTTCATAATGATGAAGATAGAACAAAAGTGTTGAATGGAGGGCCTTATACCATCTTTGGAGTACAACTCATTCTAAAATCACTTTCAGAAGATTTTTCCTTTGATGATGATGAATTTCTCAAGGTTCCCATTTGGGTCAAATTTCCTAATTTACATATGAAACTTTGGAATGAGGAGGCTATGAGTGAGGTTGCATCTATGGTAGGAGTCCCACTTTCTACAGATAAAGTAACTCAAGATAGGAGCAATCATCACTTTGCTAGAGTTCTGATTGAAGTTGATGTTTCATAACCACCTCCGCTATCATTTCCGATACGATTACCTTCCGGTAAGGTAGTCAAACAAATGGTGGTTTATGAAACTTTCCCTAACTTTTCTTTTCATTCTAAAATTTATGGGCACCACTCATTTATTTGCAAAAAATTGGCATCAAAAGAACGGGATGAGGCTATTGTTGAAAAGAATGAGGAATTTGTGAATGAGGCTATTCCAATAATACCCAAGGACATAGAAAAAGAAAAGCTACCAATGAAAGAGGTCCAAGAGGGATGCATAGAAAATGGGGTAAGAGATGAGGTTAGAGAAAAGCTCCAGCAAGACACAACTACACCGAATGAATCAGCTACCATGCCCGAACCAGAGGGGGGAGATGACACAGAAGATGAGGAATTAGATGATGAGTCGAGAGATGAGGAGGAACAGAGAATTCTTGACGAGTACTGGAAAAAAATTACACAATATAAGGAGATGAAGAAAAACATGGAAGCTGAGCCTGCTCAAATAGGTTTAGGCTAATTTGATACAGATTTCCACTGGCGGTTATTTCTAATGGTTGTTTGTTTTTTATTCCTCTGATTAGATGGATATGGGGGATGCCCCATTATTTTGATGATGCATTATATTTAGGTTAGATTTATCTAACTTAGATAGTCTTTTTAGATTTTGTGTGATACATTGTAAAATGTTATTTTTGGGTGTCTTTTATATACTTACATTTCATCCAAAAAAAAGAGAAGGCAGACGTTGGAAAGACTATTTACTCACATCTCCTCATTTCCAACACAAGCAAAGTTCCATTCGTTCGTCAACACTTCAAGATCCTCAACTACAAATCTTTTGTAACGAAGCTAGTTGGAAACCCCTGTTCTCACAAGAACTCTTCTCCAACGAGAAGGACGTCCAAGTAACTGGAGTAGTGAAGTGGTGAAACTTCAAGGAAGTTCAGTGAAAGGACCAGGCTTAAAGGAAGCAAGGAAGTGCATCCCAAGAGACATCTAGACTTAAAGAAGACGTGGAGAGCTTCTTAAGTGCTAGAACTAAGGCGTTGTAAACGGACGTTTTTACAAGCTTAGTGGAACAGTGGATTAGAGGAACGAGTTGTTCCTTGAACCACTATAAAAATCCCTGGTGTCATTTACTTACTGCATTTATTTATCGCACTTAGTTAGAACTGATTAACTCCAAAGACTTGGTCTCTGTGTTCAGCAGAACGTGTCTTGTGAGTTAACAGAAGGCCTCCTGTCTTTGCTTCTCTAAGGCTAATCGAACAGAACCCCTACCTGAACCCCATCTACTGCCAGTCTGTTTTGTCTACAGAACAGGCTATTCTGTTAAATCTGGTACTTAGCTTGAAAAAGTTAAAAACCAGTACAGTCTATTCACCACCCCCCTCTAGACTGTACCCAGTACAACCGGGACCAACAATAAGTATGACTTTAGGCCCTTGGCCCCGGGTTTCCAAATTTTTCATCTTCATCCAAGAGATCTGCCTTTTCCCAAAATCCCTAATTTCTCAGGCTCGCTCAGGTAATCACCAACCTTCTTCTTTCTAATTTCTCTTCCGGTTCGGCACAAATGTCAATTAGTTCTGGCTCTTCTGAACCCTCAATTATTGAGCTTGGTCGAGACTCTGAGATGAATGCCACTTTGGATGACACCGCGGGCACTAGTGCCGCTGCAGAGAATGTGGCCGAAGATGCCTCTTCTACTAGCGGTTCAGGAGACGCCCACTCCGGTGATTCTTCTAGTGAGACTTCTTGTGTTGGCTCTGACAGTTCGAAATTCGGCGATGATATAGCGGTGATGACGAAAGGCCCTCCTAACGATACCCCAAGTCACCACCTGGACTTGAGGTCCATTAAAAATCGGAGGCAAAAACTCTCACCCAAACTTAGAGCCCAAATTCCTGTCCTAATTCCCGACCTGGTTGATTTTCGCTTTCATGCTGGCCTCCATCCCCTGCACCACCGCCCTGGAATGGTGGGGGTGCATCTCGATTCCGTCAAGGCTGGGTTAAGGTTCCCATTGCACCCTTTCTTTGTGGCTCTCTTTAATCATTACCAAGTAGTTTCGGCCCAAATAATGCTGAATTCCTATCGGGTCATTGCTGGGTTTATTTACCGTTGCGTGGATGTTGATGTTGTGCCCGATCTGGACGTCTTCCATCATTTCTTCAAGGTCGCTCGCCTACAAAACGACGGATTCCTGGCAGTGAGTGCCCGAACAAGGCAGATTCTCTTCAAGGGGAACATTACCTCCATCAAAGGGTGGAAAGACCGATTTTTTTTTGTTTCCGTCCTGGACGGCCTTATCCCACAGAGGTGAAACACGTATCCACCCAAATCCACCGAGCCCTTCATTTTTAAGGAGCTAGAAGAGAAGATCATCACTATGGAGAAGGCCAGGACACTAAACATTATGAACTACTTAACCCCCGCTCGGCTTGTGGGAACGCGGATAGGTACTGCCCGAATTCCTAGACTTCTTGACTGAAACCAAGTGCCATGCCCCGGACGGTCCTACCATTCGAGAAACTTACATACCATGCTTGTTTCACACACACTAAGACCTCTCGGTACTAACATTATCCTTTCTTTTTTGAGCTCCCAATACCGAAGCAGTCATGCACAGTAGTCGACTTGAAGAAGTAGGTGTGGCTAAGAAAAAGAAGCTGGCCAAGAATAAGGCCAGGACCTCAGCCTCTGAGACCACCCAATCGGCCGCCCAACCTGAGGTTCAATATCCTCATCCACTTCGACAAGTGCCTCCTGAGGAGGTAAACTTCGCTGATATGGCGGTAGATCAGTCGTTCGGAAATCTGCAAACCAACCCTCTTTTTAATGATGCCCCGGGTTTGTTCGGTGCTGTCAACGTTGGGTCTGGACAGGCCTCTGTTTCCAAGCCCGTGGAGCCAATTTTGCTGAAGGATCCGCTCCATGCAATCATAGAACAAGGTGGATGCCATCCTGCTCGGGTCTGGAGTACCTCCGCCATGATGAATGATTACCACCTCCCGAAGCTGTCAGTCAAACATACCGAGACAGGGGTCGCCCTTGCAACTCTTAAGGTAAATTCCCACCATTCGTTTATTTGTTTGTCTTTCATGTCGTTCGGTAAATACCTGTTTTGTCCTGCAGGCCGCCTACTATAGTGTTCAGCTCCAGCTTGCTCGGTTGGAAATAGAGGAGGAGCTGATCGGGGCTCGGATGTCTGCTGAACAGGCCACTGTTGAAGTGCTTCAGGCTGCTGATCAAGAGCAAAAGAAGTTCGAAGGTGATCTTGGCCAACTCCGGGTGGGCCTTGCCACCGCTCAGTCTAAGGTTCATGCTGCTGAGGCCGCTCAAGTTATTTTTAAGGAAAATGAACCTTAGATCCCAGAGAATCCTCGGGAAATATTTGTTGGCTTAGCTGTTGTCCGGGCATCAGCACTGGATGAATTCCGATCCTCTGAGGAGTTTATGAAAGCTGCCGAAGAGCATGGATTAACACAGGCAGGGGCTCTTTCGGGAAGCATCTGAAACAGCTCCCCCTGGGCCCGGCTTGCCTTGAAGAGGGGGTAAAGCTGACCGACGAAACTGCGGTTTGCAAGAAATGGGTCAACGCTCTGGCCATGGACACTTATATCTCCAGTTGTCAACGGGTTATGGAGGGCATGGTGCCCATTGTGGAGAAACTTGTTGGTCGGCCGATCGAGATTAAGGAATATGAGGATAAGGTCCACCTAGCCCAGTTTGACAAATTTCGCCGCAACTTACAAAGGGAGGCCGACTGGGCTGCAGGCAAGGAGCCCGATCCCCCGACTGATGATGAGGCGGCTGATGACGAAGGTGATGATGGTGAATCCAAAGGATACGATGCCAGTTAGTTTTATTTTCATAATTTTGTGTATCCACTTGTCTCTTTTGCTCATTTGATCCTTAATTTAAATTCCGGCCAGCAGTGCCGAGGAGTAAAATACTTTTTTGTTTATCTGTCCTTTCTTTAGTTTCTTGCATGATCCATTTCCGTTCTTTCCCTTTACCTTTTACTTAGCCGTTCGAAATTTCCCAACGCAGCATTTTGGACTTAACAATTTTTCATACTAACTTCGTCCCGTTTAGGGTTCCCGAATCGAATATGATCCGAACAGGACCCCTGTACTATAATCTCTCATCTGGTGACAACCCATTCGGGATTAGCCTTTCATTTCAGGACTCCTGGATTAGCACTAGAATCCATCCACCTCCTTATAGTTAGGGATCTAGACCGGGATCTTGATCCTTTTTCTGGGGGAGATGTTTGACTGACCGCCCTTCACGTCAGGATTAACCCATTCAGGGTCTCTAACTATATCATTGGACAAAAAACTAGTATTAAAATCTGTTGATGAGATTCTGAGTCCTTTAGACCTGGTATTTTTCCGGCCTTATACATCCATTCTAGACATTCTATTATATGTTGAATTACTCACAGGAATCACCCGTTCGGTCGTTCGGCATGTTTCTGCGACCTCTGAGGTAGTCCATTTAGCTCCCACCACGTGTCCCTCCTGGGTTTGGTCCCAGGACGGTGATCCCTCTATATAAATATGGGGAAGCTGGTATCGAGTCATTTTCTGCTGCTTCTTCAATCATTGCCTTGTTGCTAGCTTTCTCCCTCTAGAAATCCTCTAGGCTTCTCTTCTTCGCTGTATTTACAACCCCCCTTTTCCTCTTTTATGTCCAATTACTTCTCTTCAGATGAGGAAGACATGTTTTTTATCCGTCATTCTTCAAGGGGAAAAGTCGGCCCGAACGGTCAGGTAGCCAATTCTCCCTCTCAGTCTTCGAAATCTCTCACTAATTCCCCTGTTCCACCGGAGGCCAAACAGTCCCTCCCCGACGATGGATGTCTCGCGGGTGAGGACCTTCAAAAGTACGAGCGTGGAATACCCGAGCGACCTCCACGCATTTCTCTAAACTTCCATTGCATCTGGAAGCATTGCCAGCGTCTTCCAGCAGATGTCGACCGACAATTGGCCCAAATTTTACCGCCACCTAGGCAATTTTACAGTGGCTTCATTCGAAACCCGATGAGGCACCGACAGGGGAATGTGCTGGTGCATCTGGATGCTTTGGTCGCCGGTCTTTGCTTTCCTTTGCACCCGTTCGTCATAGATTTCCTACGCTGTCTCTCGATGCTTCCGGCCCAGTTCGTTCCCAGCGCTTATCGCATCCTCACAGGATCTATCATCCGTTGCCATGATTTGGGGATCCCTCCGAATGTAGACTTTTTATTCCATTATAGGTATGAGCCATACTGGACAACTAGGTACCTGCGTTTGGTCGCCCGACCCTACCGTCATCTCTTCACAGAGAACTCCACACCTCCTGAGAAATGGCAGGAGCATTTTCTGTTCGTCCATGTGGGTGAACCGCTCCCATTTCTAGATGTGTGGAATTCGTATCCTTTTCGGGACAAGGAACCGTTTTTGAACGCCGTTCTACAAAACCAGGCCGAGTCGCTGCATCTGGCGGGCTCCCAAAATATTCAGGCTTATGTCACGCCCGCAAAAATGCTTGCTGCTGGCATTGGTACTTCCCGTTTATCTTTTGCTGTTCGGCGGGTTTGTTTGTGCCAAGCTGACCATGTGTTTCCCTTGCAGGTGTGATCCCGTCTGAGATGAAACGCTAGGGTCCTTCATCTAGTTTGCCTCCCCCCATTCAGGAAGGGAAAAGGCAAGCTTACCCTAAACATTGGTAAGCCCGCCTCGCAATCTGAGT